CATGCAGGCATGTGTCGTGCCGTCATCTTAGTTGATGACGGGATCGCCGCCGAGAGGCAAGCAGTTCCGAGGCACTGGGCACGGCGTGACACGACACAGGCAAACGCTACTATACGACACTCACGAGTTAAACATGACGTCAATCAGACTAAACATGACATCAGAACATTAGGAGAACAAAGAACATCCAGAGCAATACGATGCCTCGAAGGGCGAGAAGGGGGAAACAGTGGGACACAGCGGGACAAGGTGCAGTGGTAAGGGAGTCGGAGAGGCAGAGGGGAGAGACAGAAAGAGACAGGCGAGCGACGTTACAACTTGCCTGTCAACACCGAGGGTGGTGCTGACCACCAAGGAGACGGGCAGGCTCCAGCAGCTGCCTCATCGCCGAGCCCAAGCACCCACGGTGCTTCGGGTCCCCGCACTCGCTCCTGCGCTCAACGCGGCCCGCGCCGCACTGGCGCCCGCCACGACGTGGAGGACCATGATGACGATGATGACGACGAGGGCGATGGCGACGACCACGGCGCTCAGCCATCAGAGGATTTCTGCGACACAAGTTTGACGAAATCAAATCTGACAGTTCGGGGCTAGCAATGTCGTCAAAGTCAAACTTGACAAAGCTCAGACAGACAAGAGAGGTTGATGATCCCGCCAACCACTCGAATCCACAAGCAAGACAAGCACCATGGCTGCAGTGACCTGGAGGGGTGTGGACGAGCAGATGATGATAATTGCAGCATCGCCCCACAAGACGTTTCAGCAGCGTCAGGCTCTGCTACTCTACTTTATGTATCGGCGACTGGCGAGTGTGCCACGTGCCTGGGTTGACATGTCCAACACCCTTGACTTAACCATCTTCACCAACAAGGAGTTCAAGTACTTCTTTCGCGTGCACTCGTTGAGCCATTTTCGTCGTCTGGCAATCAATCTGAATGTTCGACCTTGGTATGGCCGAGAGCATCGCACAAAGTACGTTGCACTGACGCTTGACGTTCACGGCGATATTGCGTTGCACCCCTTGTCCACTCACCGAAAATAAATTGGCTATCAGGCAACGACACGCCCTTTTCCTGCACAGATGCGGCGTACTCGTGAAGCCTATGCTGTGCAAACAAGTATCGTGAGAACTCCAGCCTGGAGGCGTGCTTGCTCGAAAGATCCCCAGCAATGTCCAACAGGATCGTTGAAAGTTTCCCTGGAGACCAGCTAAGGCCTACAAACATCGCAACGAGAGGTGGGTGAGGGCTTATTTGAGATAGACCGCATGCAATTGTCAACACGAGCATGAAAATGCGACTCACAGAAGCTCCGTAGGATCGTGCTGAGCCTGGATGGATACGACAGACGATGCATCAACAGAGCCAGTGCAACCAGACCATTACACCTGCAAAGAAGGCACATGAGTTTCAGATAACACAGGAGATCTCTTTCGTTGTCGTTGTTGTATCGAGTGACATGCAGAACTCAATATGTTCCCTGCGTTTGTGTGTGTCACATAGGGTTCGTGGATGGGACACTCATTGCCATATCTCGCCCCCGACATAGGCGCCATCAGATTGCTTCTTACAATGGGTGTGTTCTTCTAATTGTTTGCGTGCTCGTGATGAATATATGTGTAGGTGTGAGGAGATTGTGTCTTCATCGGGTGCTTGAGTGGGCTCATGCTGCGTTTTCACGAACCTCGCTGCTGTAAGGCACAAACGGCACAACGGACTCAAGCTGCAGGCCATATCCCTTCCCAATGGTATGATCGGCGCGCTCTTTGGACCAGCACCAGGTTTGTTCTCGCTGCCGGACATGATGAAGACTCTCGTTACAGCAAACCAACCCCTGCCCACTCAACAGTCTTGATCACGCTGATATGTGTGGTACTCTCTCTGTGTGCGGGTGCTTCAGGTCGCTGGCATGATGCCAGAATCTACTCCGCCTCCCACGTAACGGACAAGCTTGAGCACCTCTCCTCGTCCTTGAAAGTTCTGGGAGATGCTGCATATGCTCGGTCCGCAAGACTACTGCCCTTGCCTCGGAACGTACAAAATGGAACACCTGAGGCTGACCTTCGAAGACACCTTTCGTCAGTAAGGGTCAGTGTGGAGTGGGAGTTCGGGTGTGTTGGAAACTCGTTTGCTTTTATTACATACAGCAGGAGCCTGAAGGTCGGGCAAGGCCCTGTCGCTTCTTTCATTCGTTGCGCTTTCTTGCTTGCAAACTGCTTGAATTGTCTCTACGGGAGTCAAACAAGTAAGTACTTTGCTTGCCACCCCCCTTCTCTCGAGGAATACCTCTTGAATGATTGACTGTGTCTTTTGTGTATTTGCGTTTACTGAAAGTAAAGGTACCCGTGACAAGCTTCACGAAGCGCTTGGTAACATGAACACAGAATACACGACGCCGAGAAGAACATGCGGTGGACGGTTATTGTGCACGCCCCTTGGAAAGCGCATCGATTGTCTTGGTCATTGTTTCCAAGCTCTTCAGCATCGCTGCGAGGACCTTGCTGTTATCCTCCTGTGCAGAAATCAGATGATGCAACGGATGCATGAAATGAGCACAGGTGAATAAAAACATGACAGCACACCGACAAACCGCGCTGAAGGCAACTGACTGTACCTGCTTCTGTTTCTCGATTTGCACCCGTTGTTCCTCCAGCTCAAGTGCCCTAAACAACGCAACAATCGTGAATGAGGGGCGCACAACCATACAACATCAGCAACGGCAATAGCAGCCACACGCAATCGTATGACGCACCGTGTCTGCGCCTGTGTCATTGCTTGCACTAATCTCGCTGGAATGGGCTCCTCGTCTTCATGCACGGGGGAGCGAGACTCCTTGGCACGGCGCTCCATGGCAGCTCGCACAAGCTGCGCATCCTCTTCGCTTCTGCGCTTCTCATCTTCGCGGCGGTCCTGAACGAGCTTGTCTTCCATCTCGTAAAATGTCCTCGCTGCTTGCAGAATGTCGGGGTGAAGAATGTCAGCTCCCAAACCGGTCCGAGACTTGGCGCTGTCTGCATCACGAGCGGTAGCTACCTGGCGTAATATGTGTTTCTGTGTGCGAATGCCACACACACACACACACACACACACACACACACACACACACACACACACACACACACGCACACACGCACACACGCACACACACAATCCAGAAACACCACAGTATATTAAGAGAGCGCACCCCCGAAGCAGCCATCGCCATCGATGGCATCAACGTTCAATGCTTCTCCATCACGCTCACAACAAACAGGGACAGAATCACGCACGCGCTGACATACCTGCATGGTTTCTGTTGTAATGTTGAACGAACGGTCCCTCTTTTGAACTAGAGCCACGAGCCGGTCTTTCACATCATGCCACTTAGCTCCAACGCCGTGCTTGCTTTTGAGACGTGGAAGGTCTGCCTCCACGGCCCATGTAATGGCTTGCGCCCATTCTTGTGGCGTGAGCTGCGATCGCTTGCGCTTCTTGCGAGGATTCTCCATGATTTCTTTAGACAACCTGCCTCTGTCAAACTTTGGACGTTGGATCGGATCTGACAAGTTTGACGGCGCACTCACTCAAGTCTGACAAATAAAAGTTGCTGACTCGACAAAAAAGAGCTGTTTGTCAGATTTCGTCTGTCAAACTTGTGTCGCAGAAATCCTCTATCTTCGTCCTCTTCCTCTCTCCATTCTTCCGCCACTCCGAGCGGAGGAGCGCAGGTGGCGTCCCGAGCCTCTGGCCTGCTGGATCCCCGTGATCCACAGGTTGACGCAGCCATCTTCGCTTCGCGTTCCTCCTTGGCGTCCTGACGGGACACCCGCTGCGGCTGGCCATCACCAACAACCGTGGCCGCTCCGGTGTGCTTGCGCTGCGCCGTCTCCGCGAGCGCTACATCCGCAGCGGCAAGGACCACGTCAGCCGCCTCAGGCAGCAGCTCTCCTCAACCACCTGGTTGCCCACGGATACCGTCGACACGTTCATGTCCCGCATCACGGACATCAACTCGCAGCTCCTTGCTGCCGGCGTGTCCATCCCGGAGGACGACCTGCGCACCCTCGTCCGCAACGAACTCCCCGCGGAGTTTGATGTGGCGATGCGGTTCATGGAGCGCGAGGACCCGCCGCCGTCACTGTCCAAGATGACGGCGGACCTCATCCAGGAAGAGCGCCGCCTGCATCGTCCCAAGAAGCGCACGCCTGTGCTCGCCATCGGTGGGCCAGGCTCTGGCTCCTTCGCTGCATCGCCGATGCACGCTGGCACGTCGCCCTCCGACACGAGCGGTGGACCATGCTGTCCACCTGCAGAGCGCGTGACTTGCGCGTTCTGCAACTTTGTTGAGACACGACAGGTGTGTGTGTGTGTGTGTTTACTGTAGGCAAACGCAACAAACAAGAACACAAGGAGAATGAACAAGCACAACAAGCGGCTGCCAAATCAACTCGGGCAGCACGCTCAAACAAACACTCGACAAGTGCACACACAGTCAACAGAGCTGCCAAGGCGACATGAGCAGAGTGTGCACGAACATAAACAATCTAAACAATGAGCAGCATGCATACATGCGCGCAGAGCAATGCTAAGCATGGCATGAATGCTTGCAGGCAAGCATACACAACAGACAACACTTCACAACACTGCATGGCACGCACACATGGCATTTGCCAAGCATGACGGGCATGCACACACACACACACACATGGCACACAACTCACGTGTGTAGG